TCCCATGCCTTCGCACATCATGGTGTCGGCAACCAACAGTAGTTGTATGTTCAGGAAACACAGACATAACATATAGGTGTAATCCCTGGATTTGCCCATTAGGTCAAGCGCGCTTGAAATGGGGTGGGTTGGGGGGAGGTGAGGCCCAGGTTTGGTTGTTTGTTTGTTGTTGTTGTTGTTGTTTTTTATGTTGGTGGGGTTTTGGGTTTTTTCGTTGTTGTTGTTGTTGTTGTTGCAGTTGTTTTTTTTGATTGGGGGGGGGGGGGAGGCAAACTTTACTCTAAACTTATTTTGTCGGGGCCCGATTGTCATCTGATCGGAAAGAAAGAAAGACAAATCATGTACAAATATACCATCTGGTGAGTTGAGACCCCAAAAAATCTACTCTACCCCCCCCCCCCTTTTATCAGACTGCGTGCGATATAGTGTCATTTTACTCACCTTTCTATAAGGTTAAAGGGCGGGTAACAACACTTCTCACATACCCTTCCTCCTCGCCCCCAAACCCCACATTTTTTCTATTTTTTGAATGGGGAGCAAGAGAAACAAATCGAAGCTAAAAAGTACTATGTATCTTGTTTAGGAGTAGGACACGTGTCGCCCACACTGGAGTTCAACACCATTCTGAGTTCACGGTTCACCAAATGGGGAAACAGTATCTTCCAAACGTTATTACTTAAATTAATAAGATAACCCCGCGCAGGGTCAGAATAGCTATCCCGTTAGCTCAATTGGTATCCTGCTAAACTACAGTACCGACGACCCAGGTTCGAATACCCAAAGTGGCATTCTCAAACTTGGGTCGTTTCGGGATTTTATATGGCTCTGCCGTCCCCTCTGGGTTTTTATTTAATTTCTTGTGAGTCGGGCTTTATACAAGTATAAAGACTTATTGTTCTACACTTAGCCTTACAGCACGACTGTGTTTAGAAGAGATGTTAAGGGGGTTCTCGTGGTCGACAGGTTACGGTGTTCACCCCTCTTTCAATAAAGATCTCTTGATGATCGAAAATTGATAAGAGTAGGCTTCGGCCGCCACCTAGGTGTGGGTGTGGGTGTGTGTGCTCTTTGTTTTCGCGGGCGTTTTTGTTTGGGGGGGGGTATATGAGTCTCTCGTGTCTGCGCGCCTCTGTGTGTGGGTGGGTGTGTGTATGTGTGTGTGGAGGTGGGTGTGTGTGTAGAGGGGGGGGGGGGTTCATTCTTTTCTTCCCACCAACTATTCTATCGAATTAATATTCACCCAGAAGTTCGAAAACGGTAATAAATTGCGGGTTACGAGGTGTTATTTTGTTTTTGTGAGCTTTCGTTTCTGGTCTGTGTTAAAGTTTATTACACGTAACATTTTTAACACTGGGGTATGAGAGAGTGAGTGGGTTATGAGCAAAAAAAAAGACGTGTATGTGTGTGCATGGGTATTGGTGTGTGTGTACCTGTGTGCGTTTTCCTAGGTGTGTAATATGTGTGTTCATGTGCGTGTGTCAGTGTGTGTGTATGTGTGGGTGTGAGGCGAGGGGTATACACGTGTGAGTGCAACACACACAGACACA